TCTAAGATGTGTAGAAGTCACACCTTGAAGTCTACGGATTCCTGAGCATGAATTATGAATGAAGATCTATGCAAATATAAGAGTGTTTATCCCAGGAGCACGGCAACAATTCTGAACAGGAGCTCTCATCTTATCAGAGACTGATTCCTGCTTTCTATCAGCTACTGGAAGCACTCACATTTTATAATTTCAAAGCCAAGGGTACATAGTCATCCCTTGAATGGTGGGAAGTGTGTTTCAGTATAAGTTTCTCACATCTCTAAGCATGCTTTTTTTGTGCTCTGTGATTTATGTTTTCTTGGCTACAGCATCTCAGTATATTCTGCCAGTGATCAAAACCAGTAGAGCACAGGCTAGCATTTTAAATTTCAAAATGTAGCAATCTGATGGCTTTCTTGCTTTACTTGCCCACATATATTACAGAAATATATGACTTTACCCCATTGTGTAAATTAGTTGAATCGAAGAATGTTTTGACAAGTGAGGTTTCTAGACCCGAAAGTACCAACCAAGTAAACACAGATCATTACATCCTATAAACAAGTGTCTAGATTTTAAAATACTCACCTGTATGGCCTCTAAGCATTTTGATGCTTAAAGTCCAAAAGACTGTGGCTTCTAATTATACTTTCAGGGCTGTCTTTGTGCTAAATTCACATTGAATCCTGTCTCAGAGATTACCAAGAAACCTAACTGTAGCTATTTTGCTCACAAAGTTTTTGGGCTTCATTAGCAAATAAAAATATTTGTTGGAAAGAAAAGTCAGAGCAAAGCAACCAGCAAAAAGCATCTGAATAAGTGAATCATTTCCTTATTCTCCCTTATAAACGGGAGAAAAAAAAAATCAAATTCAAAATCACTATATAATATAAATGGGCAAGTCTATTAATTCTGGAGTTGCAGTGAAATCTGCTGTGGGCTGGCCAGTAAATGATGCAGATTTTTTGCCCTCATGCAGGCAAATTCCTTTGAATAATGTTTTTTTAACTTAGTGAAAGCCTCTTTGCATAACAGTCATCAAACCATCTCTAGATCTAGGAGCATAAATAATTTATACCCACTTTTGTCCTCTAAGATTCTCTTTCCCTCAAGTGGATCTTCAGCAGGGAGGACAATGCAGCTCAACAGCTGAGACATTCATGCTCAGGAAGAAAAAAAATTGGCACTCTGGAGATATCTGTCTCCATACCCAACTAAATAGTTTCATCTATTTACCTAATTTCCAGATGGAGAAAGTTAGGTAAGTTGGAATAAGTTACTCAAGGTGGAATAAGTATTACAGAGCTAGCTGAGAACAAGTATCTGCCACAGAAGGCCAACAAGAAACCACAGGCGTCTGCAATCATCGAAGTTCAAAGCCTGAAAATGCAAAAATCAGCTGATCCAGACAGCGAGGAGAAGCTGCGAGGTGGGAGCCCGGCAGCGCTGCTGCTGGGAGGATGCTGGAGGATGCTGGAGGATGCTGGAGGATGCTGGAGGATGCTGGAGGAATGGTCGGGGCACTCCCAGCAGGAGCCGGAGCCCAGCGCGGGGCGGGCGAGTTTCGGGAAACCGAAGAGTTTTGGTGCCACCTAGAGGGAGCGACTCGCCTAAAAAGTGGGGAAAATCGTCACCACACATGGTGTCACACAACTTGCCGCAATTGTACAGCACTGGGGAAAAAAAATCCTAGAAAGAAGGGCTCTCTCTTGCTGCTGTGCAAACTATTTACACAATATGAGCAGCAGCAGCGTAAAACTTACATCTTCATCTCAGTTTAGCTTGAAATTATAAATGCAGACAGTATATTTAAGACAACCAACTACTGATTCCTTTTTCCTTTAAACAATATCCTAGCCACACAGCTGTTCTCCTTCCCTTCTTCCTCCAATTATCTGAACTCTGAGGAAATAGCCAACAAGCTGACCACGCTGGATGCTAGATCCTGCTTTCCTGTAGCAACAGCCATGGCTGGAGCCAGCTGGCGTGGAGGGTGCCTTGGGCATCCAGGAAGCACACAATATATGGTCACAGCCCTCCGTACACCACCAGCTTTTCCAAATGATCCATCTGAAGTCTAGCATCTTCCTGTGTAACTTAAATCTGCTCTGCACTAGAGCAGGATAAGGGCCAGCATTCACAAGCAAAGGAAGGATTCAAGCATAAACCTAAATTGTTATAATTCTTTCATCATTAAATCTGCCACCTACAACCTGTAGGTTTTACCATGATTACAGCAGTGACAATAACTTGCAGGGACACTGTGGAGCTTGGGGAAGAGTTGCTGACGGGTGAGCTCTGTGACCCTTTCATAGTACATTAAAGTAATTTCTGAGTAGGTGTTGATCAAAACATTGTGCACCACAGCACTTTCCTTTAAGCTTCTGCACATGAACCACGGGTTGGTCCACAGGCACAACAGTCATGCTGTGGCTCATATTTGCCCCATAGGAAATCCCATATGGCAGCTGTGCTGAAGCTGATAGAATATTAAAATATACCTGTTCTACCTGTTATGGCTGCAGTTTTCTCAAACACTAATTCTCTCCCTTCCCACCTTTGTGTCCTTGTAGAGTGCAGAACAAGTGTTGGATCATACCTACTAAATCCCTCTTTGCCTGGCTTGGCTGCTAGTAACACTGCAGTCAACACACCACGGCTGCCAACACAGCTTGCCATATAGAATTAGTGCCTCATACACTCATACCCACACATAGAAGATTCCTGGTCTTCATTCCTAAAAGCTTAGCTCATGAAAGAGTTATTTTATATTAAATATTTGGTAGTTCACTGATCTCCATGACAGCTATACCTCCAAGGTTCTGGGCTGGATAAATATGGAAGATTATTGAAGTGCCAGAAAGTTGAGTACCTGCCACCCTAAACAGGAACATGGCAAGATGCACTGCATGTCTTTGGGTATATGGAACTGTCCTGCTGGAGTCCTGCTGTCATACACCAGATCTATTCCCCAGCAGTACACCTGTAGGCACTCTGGCCTTCACTGTCTCATGGGCACTGTAACAGCCACATTCCTTATCCTTCACTTTACAAACATCCCCAAAGCCCAAACTCTACAGAAAAATGTATCTTGAGTGCAGTGGAAGCCAAAGATCCACTCAGTCTGTTGCAGAGCCATGCCATACACCCAGCCAGGAGTCTTTAGACTATGATTTCATGAAAATGGCAACTACACTGGCCACCAAAATCGATGAACAAAGCTATTTCAAGCTTTAGAAGGTTGCTGTTCAGACACAGGAAGGATTTGCTTTATAGGCCAGGCCATTGCTGCCTCCTGTCTTATCTGTCTTGTGGAAGCCATAAAAGGAGCAGACTGCAGAGACAAGAGTGCAAGGTGTCTCCTTTTTGTTTCACAAAGGAGATGAAGCTGAAAAGAAAGAGGTACATATGCTGTGTTTTAGACAGACACACTGCAAGAGTGGACAACGTCCAGCTGAGAGGAGTGTGATGCAGAAGAGGACAGGGTGCCTCAAGTCAGGACCTGCAGAAGCACTTTGCAGCTGTGACCTGCAGGCTGTCACAGACAGTTCCTGTGCCATCACTGCTTGCAAAGCAGGCATGGCTGCTCCCTGCTAACACATGCCCTGCTCTGCTGGAGCCAGTCATCACAGCAACACTTTGGAAACGTGGCCTTGTGGAACACAGAGATAAGCAAAGCAAAGCAGCTGCTGGCTGAGCTACCCGGCTGCAGGGCTGGGAAGTAGGAATGGTGACACCCCACCTCCTGCCCAGCACCACTGGACATGCTCTCTTTCCCCTACTCTCACCAGCTGGGGGATTACCCACACATAGTCAGCTCCTTCCTCTCACTCCCCAAAGATTTACACCCACCTGCCTAATATATTCATCTCCTGCTAATTACCAAAACCATTTGGCCATGAAATCCTTGAACTTAGGTTTCAGTTTTACAGAATTGACAAGAGAATTAGACTGAGCGCCAAGCATTGACATAAATGAGATTGAATTAAACATATTTATTATAACTTGTCATGCAGATAGAACTAGAGAGCTACCGACACATTTTAGCAGGAAATGTGAACTTCAATGATTTTTCCCCAAAACAATGCTATTGACGTCATGAGTGCTTCAGGAGTGCATGTGCGGCTTTGAAGGATTCGCTGATAGGATTGATTAAAGTAGTCATATCTCAAAATAATCTAGGCAGGGTTTATACCTCTGCTTAGTAAGGTATATCGGTAATATATAAAATTTGCACCTCAATGTCCTCAATGGCCCAGAACTGAACACAGCCTCACCAGTGCTGAGTTTTGAGGGGGGACAATCCCTGCCCTGCTCCTGCTGGCCACACTATTGCTGACACAGGCCAGGATGCCACTGGCCTTCTTGGCCACCTGGGCACTGCTGGCTCATGTTCAGCTGCTGTCACCAGCACCCCCAGGTCCTTCTCTGCTGGACAGCTTTCCAGCCCCTCTTCCCCCAGACTGCAGCACTGCAGGGGATTGTTGGGACCCAAGCACTGCACCCAGCACTTGGCCTTGTTGAACCTCACAATACTGATCTTAGCCCATCGATCCAGCCTGTCCAGATCCCTCTGCAGAGCCTTCCTGACCACCAGCAGATCAGATCTATCACCCACTTGACGTTATCCACGAATTTACTGATGGTACACTCGACTGTCTCATACAGATCAACAATAAAAACAGGACTGTGCTTAATGCTGAGCCTTGGGGAACACCACTGGAGACCAGCTGGATGCAGCACCATTCACCATCACTCTCTGGGCCCGCTACACCTGTCCAAGCCGTGGGCAGCCAGCTTTTCCAGGAGACTACCGCGGGGAACGGCGTTCAGCCTTAGCTGAGGCCCAGGCACACAACATCGCGGGGCGCAGCTGCAGAGACAGCACACACAGCACACAGGCTGCCGCAGTGCCGCTGGCTCCCGGGGCCCGGCTTTTCCCGAGAACGGGAAGCGGAAGGCACAGCTCGGCCGGCGGGGCGGGGCCGGGGCGGGGCCGGGAGCGGAGCGGGGCCGGGGCGATGCTGGCGGCGCTGGCCACCGCCTGGTCCCTGCTGGCTGCCGCCTTCCTGACGGCGCTGCTGCTGCTGCTGCTGCTCCGGCGGGCCCCGGCGCCGCGGGCCGGGGGCGTGGGCCTGGTGATCTCCGGCCTCTTTCAGGACCTCATTCGCTACGGGAAGACGAAGCGCGGGAGCGGGCAGCTCCCGGGCTGGCTGCGGCTCCTGCAGGTGCCCAAGAGGTGAGCGGCGGGCCCGTGAGTGCCTCGGTTACCGCAGCCGGAGGTCGCGGCGCTGGGCAGCGCCCGCAGAGAGCACGGCGGGGTTTGTATCTTAGGCTTGGGCTCAGCTGTGCGGCAGTGTTACTCTGGTTCTGCAGATGGGGAACCGAGGAGCGTAGAGAATGCTAGCGATCGGACAGAATCCGTGTGTTCCAAATGGGAACAAAAGCCTAATCCCTTGAATCGCAAAAGATCTCTAAAACAAACCTCCGCAAGACTCAGGTCAGGCACCTGGGAACGTGGAATCCTGAGTAACTGTGGCTGTGCAAATATGCTGCAGGTTGACTGTCTTACACCAATTCTCAATCGTTGTCTTCTCCCTTCAAGGTTTCTTTTTGAAATGTGGCCAATAACAGCATGGGAACACAGCAGTCTAGACCTTGCATGAACAGTCTCTGATAGGGCAAAAGAACCACTGCGTTATTCAAATCCATCTTAACAGATGTTTGATGAGACAAAATTAAATACTTGTATATGTTTGGATGTTTAATGAAATCTACTTTAATAGATTTCATTATTAAATTTAATTTCAATGAAATTAAATAGATGTTTAGTGAAACTATGAAAGGAGGTGCATCTTCCCCCCCTTCCATTCACAGCTTTTTATATGTTTCTGGTTTTATATATCGTGGGATTTCTTCCTTCTTAATCCGCTGGGATTTATGACTTGAACTAGTCTTTGACTTGAGCATAGGCCAGACAGGCTCTTGCAAGGCCAGCAGGACAGGACTGGGAGGCTACTTAGCCTGAAAATCTCATCTCCCCTATTGTAACAACCTCTGACACATTTTATATACAAAGATTTTAAATAAAATGTTGGAAAAAAAAAGTTTTGTGACACAGTGTGTTATTCATGGAAAGTTTGTAATGTAGTATCTTGGTTATCTGGTATGATACAGAAAATACCCAGGGATGTGTTTAGAATGTGCAGTACCCTGAGTGAAAATAAGGATTCATAAAGGCTTTTTCTTAATCACTGTGTACTGCAGTTTCATGTTTGAGTTGACCTTTCTCCAACAGAAGTTTCCCAATACCCCTTCTTAGGGAGATTGGTATCTGTAGAATGTGCTTTTTCAGGGAATTGGTCTCAAGGTCTCAACATCTACAAAGCAATTCTGGTGCTTAATCAGTACACTTGTACATGAAGGAATAGAGAAGATCTTGAAGGTAGCTACTGAGGTGTTTACTATTCTTTTCATCCATGTCTTGTTTTCCAGACAAGCATTGTGTTTTCACTAGACTGGACTTGTTTTTCACTTTGGCATTCTGTCTTGTAAAATGTTTTGTTGCATTTCAGGTTGGTTCGGCAAATAGTGAAAATTCTTCTCCCTGAGGAGGGATGGCATGTGTACTTACTGCAGTGCTGGTTTGATCTGTAGGTCAGATATATGCCCAGTGTAATTTGGATTGCTGAAAGCTCAAAGGGTGTGTCTCTTTTAAGTTGCCAGGGTATGTTTGTGTGCTGGTAGCAAAAATCAATATGTGGAGAAAGTTCCCTGGCACATGATATGAGTCAACTGAGTAACAGGACTGCAGGGAAAGAGCTTGAAACTTGGAGGTGATGGTGAGTTTTTATCAATATGCAAATTCTGTTTGTCTTAGAAAAGTGAGGGAGAAGGGTTAAATTTTAGTTCTGCTGTTGCAAATCAGCTGACGGGATGTTGCAATTTCTGCTTGGTAGGAGAAGGAACTGAAGAGAAGTCATAATGTATAGGGAAAGCCAGCTGCTAATGTGCAGATGCTCTGGAGCATGCAGGGATGCTCCCTGCTGATGTGATTCTGACTTGATCTCTTTTGTGCTCTTGAGAGATGCCTGAGCTGCTCTGGGCGGGGTCACTTTCACTGGTTTCACTAAGAGGGTTGTACCCCATCACTGCCCCAAGAGAAGAGTTTGCATGTTCAACAGAAATATGGTCTTCCCTTGACTATACAGTTATATCCTGGTTTTGTATCTGTAGTTACATTGCCAAGGCCATCAGCATCTTCCCATGGGACATATTTTATCTCTTTGCAAATGTTTCCAGAAGTCCTGATTTTTCTTCACTGCCAGAAGGACTTTTAATTTTAAAAGCAAAAGGAAATACTGGATCAACTAGTTTGAGCTGGATTGTAAACAGCAGTATATTGCTGGATATTGTAAACAGCTGTAGGCTGTTTAACTCAGACCAGTTACCCACCTTGACTGTCATGTCCTGCATTTTGGTAACGCACAGTATGCTTTTATGAGTGTTTTATGGGCTTGGGAGGTTCTTTGTTTTCTTAAAAAAACCCAAACGTGTGGTCTTGCCTTGTAATCATCCAGCAGTGTTGATGGTCGCTGCTTTTTTTCTATATGATTGTTGCAGACCTTGAATTTGCAGAAGGACAAGACATTTTAATGCAGAACAGGGTAATTCCTTCTGGGTTCCTTTAATGAACTTTAACATGTCATGTAATGCACCCACTGCAACTGAGAAAAGTGGGAGTGCTGTGAGGATAGAGCAGCTTGGAAATAAGCAGAAAACGAACCTGGATGTGCTTTGACTGGTGCAAATTATAAAGAAAATATGATGTATGCCATGATTATTCGTAAACCTTGAGGAATACTTTTGCAATGTGTGGATTACACTGTTTCCTCTTTAGTGCAGCTATGGTTTGTAAGGTAAGCTAAGTTAGAGGTTATTTCAGGCAACATTTCACTGAAGTAAAATGTGTTAAGGTTATTCCTACTTGGTCCCACTGAAGTCCTGAGTTCTCTACTTGGACATTTGATGTGAGCACCAAAATGGAATGTATTCACCATCAGACAAGCATGTCCTACAGCTACAGTTCCAAGGAATGATGAGGACATTAATGAAAAACCTTTTCTTTGTTCCCACAGATGGTTTACTCACTTTTATGTGGTTTCTGTGCTCTGGAATGGTTTTCTGCTGATCTGTCTTTTTCGAGCTGAGTTCCTTGGAGAGTCACTTCCATTATGGATTCGGGACATGCACCATGCTCTTGGCAGAGATTCTCAGAGCAAGGACATGGGTAAGTACTCCAGATATTATAACATAGCCATATAAATATTAAAAAACTGTATTACCAACGCTGTGCTGAATTTATATCTAAGTGCTACTTCATTGATTGCTTTTCAACTACGCTCCAACTGACTTTCCTGGTACACCAAGTACCTTTGAAGATAGAAATATTTCTAATTTATAGATATGATGGCTTTCAGCAGTCCTTTTAAAAGAAAGGGCCACTAGCACCTTCTGGAAGAAATCTTTCTCTGGTCAGCAGTACCTCACCTGAACAAATATTTTTCCCAGTTAATTTAAAATGATGGTAAAATTCTACTGTGAGAAGAGGGAACAACAGGTTTTTTTGAAAACTTAAAACTGTCAGGGTTAAATTGTTCCTTTCTGTATCAAAGTTGCTGGTTTTTATCTGCAAGCAGATAGTGAGCACTTCTCTGCACTCCTGGTTCTCTTGCTCCTTTGGCTGCATAGCTGTCGAAGACTTGTAGAATGCCTCTGGACCAGCGTGTTTTCCAGTGGTGTCATCCATATCGTGCAGTATTGCTTTGGACTTGGTTACTACATTGCTGTTGGCTCAACTGTGCTGTGTCAAGTGCCTGCTAATGTCAGGAATGGTAAGTGCCCGCTTAGTTATCATCAAAGACGCAGTTTTGCTCTCATTTGTTTCCATTGTGGCAAATGGTTTCATAGAGGGCTGGTTGTTTGAGAAGTGTGTTAACTGATGCGACATAAAAGTACTTCCTGGCATAGCTCAAAGTCATTACATTTCAGTATATCATACAGTCAGCCAGGATTATACACAAGCACAGACAGGGACACACTTTCATCTTAATCTTCAGGGCTATTTGCTGAAAGAATATAGATCATATGCTTTGTGAAGGACAGTAATAGATATCAGTTCTCAAATGCCCCTACAAAACTTCAGTTCTCAAACTGGAGTTCTTTTGTTGTAAGCTTTCCTGCAAGGTGAATCTGCAAGGCTGTCTCAGCCACCTGCTTTTTTTTCCATGGAGAAGTTGCCACTGCTCTGCCTTGACTCAGGCAGTGTCTTCTTTCCCTTGGTACTGTAATGTTTCCATTAATATATGAAAAATTTGTATTATATGACTTGTTTCTGCCAATACATTCCATTGGGTCTGACAACTGAGCTGCTAAATCCCCTGCATAGATGAACCATCAGCTGGCTGTAACATTCCTCCTGTGAGTAATTTTTGTGAGGCAGTCATTACCAAGTTTGGTGAAGTTTTTAAGCACTTTGAGCCATGTTGGGCAGGGGGTGATATGTAGGTGTGTGTATGCATGTATATCACGGTGAGGAAGAGAACTCTGTGCTTGCATGTTGACCTGAGCCATAACATGTTTAAACAGGATAACAATAATTACAAACAGTGCTGAATATGGAGGTCTTAGACTACCAATTATGTATCGTTGTACATCACACTGTATTTCAAGCTGCTGGATTAATAACTAGGTATTTTAGTATACAGCAGTCAAGAGAAATGAGCTACTAGCTGAGCACTTAAATGAAGCAGGATTTAAAAGCATCTTTCAAGGAATCAGAGGCTCACTACTAGAATTTTGTAAGACAGTAACATTTGAAAAAACTGTATATAGTGTTTTGGGATGATACTTAGGAAATCACTTCCTGGTTGTGTATTAATACAACATGTTTCATTCAGGAAAAAAGCTTTCTGTGCAGATCTGCTGGTATCACATTATAGGAGTTATGATGTACATTTGGGCCTCTCTTCACCAACATAGATGCCTTGCAATTCTAGCTAATCTTAGAAAAAGCAGATCAGGTAAGATGTTTCATTTCAGTCACCTATTTACTTTGGTGGTTTTTTAGGCTTCTGTAGCTTCTAATACCTTAAACATGAGTGTTTCTCAGTTCCTGTAGTGTGTAGATTAAATGAGGCTGTTTGGATGGCTAAACTGGGGGGAGAGGGTATGGTATGTCTGTATATATAGTTCTGTAAAATTTAAAATTAAGCTCTATCTTCTAACATCTTAAGGATAGACATGGTTTCTGTACTCTGTGTTTGCACAGCCAGAGGTGGCATCTTATTTCATTAAGTGCAAAGCTGCCAGATCAGATGGAGGTGGATGATGATGATTAATAAGCATATTGTTCTGTAATTGTGAGGCGAAGAGTTTGTTTAATGCATCTTCCCAATTAATTTCTTTCTGTTTGCTTGCAGGAAAGGTTGTAAGTCTGAGCCACAGCGTGCCTTTCGGAGACTGGTTTGAAAGCGTTTCTTGCCCTCATTATTTTGCAGAGCTCCTCATATATGTTTCTATGGCCATCACACTTGGAATTCACAATGTGACGTGGTGGTGTGTAGTGATGTATGTTCTTTTTAACCAGGCACTGGCTGCTGTTTTGTGTCATGAGTTTTATCAGAAAAACTTTAGCTCCTACCCAAAGCATCGAAAAGCATTTATACCACTTGTTTTTTAGATATTTTTTTCCTAAAGTATTTTCATGCAAACTTGGAGTATAAGAGATTAATAGTTTATTAAAACCAAGGTAAAGCTGCACACTTTCTCTAATTCTACCTCAAAAGCTCGTAGTTTTAATGACAGTACCATTCATGTAACCAATTTGTGAGGAAGTGTAAGGTCTCTGCATATCATGCAAGCTAAAAAAAGGTTTCCTGAAGACCTTGATTCAAAGTGGAGAGATCCTAATTGTATCTTTTCTCTTTTATAGTTTTATCTTATGCATAAAACACTTGCTGTTGTGCAGCAAGTCCAAATTCATATATGTGAAAACTACTGAAAGGAGGGAATAATTTGAACTACTCTATTTCATGTCTTGAGTAATATTTAAGCATATTTATTTCCAAGTCTCTTTTCTTTGAGTCACTTCAGAGGGAGGCAAATTGTGTATCTTTCTGTGCTTCCCTGGTGACAATGAAAACCAGCCACTGCTTTACAACTATAAGCATGAAAAGCAATAGAGAAAGCTGCAGTGGTGGAGTGACTCATGCTCAGCAGTGGAGATAATGCAGCAAATGGGTCTGTTTATCTCTTCTGCACCAAAGTGGTTTTGTTCATTGATGAAGACCACTTTATCCCTAAACTGGGAAAATAGCAGAAGGTTCTCTGACTAAAAAGACAGTAGAAGAGAATTTGCAGAAAATTAATGTTCTTTGTTGTGGTTCTGTTGTTTTCATTGTGGGTTATTGGAATCCCTCGTGTGTTAAGAGGGGACAGCTGTGCAGGATCATGATGACCACGACTACACTGGCTTTTAAACAGCTATAATGAACTGCCTAAGCAGAGCACACACAGAAAGCAGTACCTGACAAGCATTGCAAAGAAATTCTTTTTTGGGGAGATGATGTCACTCTGCACAGAGACATTTTATGCACTTAACTGTTTAGTATTTTGGTGCTTCTCATGATACTGGTGTCAATGATCAGTTTGTGTGATGAAGTTATGTGGGTGCTGGTGTTTCAGCATGTTGTCTACTTACATGCACACATTATTTTGTATACAAGAAGTATTTTTATACACTGAAGTATATCTTATGAATTGCCTAATTAAAAGCTTATTACACTGTTTCCATTTTGTATGGTTTCTCAAAATTTGGCTAATTTGAAAAACATGAGCAATCACTTTACACAAAATGTTGTGCCTCTCTTGGCTGTCACATCCCTCTCTTCCATCAACACTCTTGTAGTTTCAATTCACCATGGAACATCAGCAGTCATGTTTTGGAACTGCATCTCTCTGTCTAACTTTTTAAGTGGTTCTCGAGAGGCTCCTTGAGCCTGTGTCCAAACATCTTCTGTTTAAATGGTGTTCTTGTCCTGTTTCCTAAACTGCTCCTCAGGAAACACATTCCTGTCCTTGCTCTGGGGAGAGCATTGGGGCACATGGCTATCCTGGGCTTCCCAGGGAGAGCATCATCAGGAGTGCAGTGTGCAGTTCTGGGCTCCTCAGGGCAGGAGAGACATGGAGCTCCTGGAGCAGTTCCAGTGGAGGGCAAGAGAGATGATTAAGGGATTGGAGCATCTCTCTTGTGAGGAAAGGCTGAGGGAGCTGGACCTGTTCAGCCTCAAGGAGAGACTGAGAGGGGAACTCATCAATGTCTACAACTATCTAAAGGGAGGGATGGTGCCAAGAGGATGGATTCGGGCTCTGTTTGGTGGTACCAACCAACGGGACGAGAGGCAGTGGGCAGAAACTGATACACAATAAGTTCCACCTGAATACGAGGAAGAACTTCTTTACTGTGCATGTGGCTGAGCACTGGGACAATCTCCCAGAGAGGTTGTGGAGTCTCCCTCACAGACACTCGGGAACTGCCGGACACGGCCCTGTGCCGTGTGCTCTGGGATGGCCCTGCTTGGGGTCGGGATGACCGCCGCGGTCGCTCCCGGCCCGACCCGTTCTGGGATTCCGTGCTCGGGGCGCACGGGTCACCCCTACACGAAGAGCTGCCGAGCACTTGCGCATCAACGGAACCGAGACGTGTCCGGGCCCTTCCTACGCGGATATTCTGCCGCTCCTCGTCCCTCCCGCTGCGCCCTTTCCCTGCCCGCGAGCAACTCCGAACGGGAAGGGACGCGCTTGGACCCGCCCAGCTCCCCGGGAACGCCGCACAGCCACCTTCGCCCGTCGCCCTCGGGACGGCAGGAGCCGGAGGAGGGGGCGGCAGCCCTGGCCGGGGTCTTGCCCAGCGCGGCGAGGCAGTCCGGCAGGCAGCGGCGGGCCGTGTGGGGGCGGGCCGTGGGCGCGCGGCAGGAAGCGGGCGCGGCGGGGCGGGCGGGGCCGCGGCGCGGGCGGTGACGCGTCGCCCTCAACCGGGGCTCGCGCCGCCCCCCGGCTCCGCGCTCGGCCGCCATGGGGTCCCCGCTGCCGCCGCCGCTCCCGCGGGCCGCCGCGCTGCTCCTGGCGGCCGCGCTGCTGCTGGCGGCCCCGGCGCGGCTCCGCGCCGCTCCCGAGGAAGAGCCCGGCAGGAAGAAGGAGCCGCCGCCACCGCCGGCGGCGCAGGGAGCGGAGCCGCGGGCCGAGGTGAGGCGGGGACGGGCCGCGCCGGCTGCCCGCGCTGTGCCCCCCGCGGCAGCGCTCGGCCGGCGCCGCGCTGCGCCTTCCGGAGGCCGTCGGGCTCCGAAATTCCCCGCTTTTAGCAGAAAAAAAGGAGAGCTACAGGGCCACCGCATCTTCCTGTTTTTCTGCTAAAAGAGGGACGTCTGTGTCCGACATGGGAAAGGGGTCAGTGCTCTCTTCCCCCGCAGAAGCAGCTGAAAGCAGGCTTTGTTGCTACTCCAAAGCTGCCAGGTTTTTTTCTCTCAACAATTAATATCAATTCCTTAAACTTACTAAACAGTGCTCTCGGTGAGGGGATTCTAGTTCCACTGATTACACAGAGGGGTGGAAAAATTACTGACATGTGGCTTAGTGTAGCACGTCGAGTACGCCGGGTGTCACAGACCTAAATCAGAAAACATAGGGAGCTGCAAAAGGTGAAGGAGCTCTGGGAAGTCAGAGTGTGTCACACACAGCGTGGGAGCTAAGTACCAACACCAGAAAACTTGGAGCACTGCTGAAAGCGGAGTGCTGGGAAGCCGTCATGTCAAAACACGCTGCGGGCTGTCTCTGCTAGTGGATGTGCTGGGACAAGCTTTCTCAGCCATCCCTGGTCATGGATGTGAACGTTGGTATAGAGATCTTGGGCCTTGCTTTTGATCATAGATACCTTACTGTGTGTAGAAGTAAACACTTTGGTGAGGGAGTGGGAACTGGAGTGTGCTGGTCTGGTTTCACCACTGGGGTGTCTTAAAGTTAAGTTTTCAACAAACATAGAGCAAGTGCAAAAGAAGCTGATGAAAACTGGCACAAAATTTGACTTTGACTCAAATGGAAAAAGGATAAACGTAGGCTAGATATTAAGAAGAAATTCCTTCATGTGAGAGGGGTTAGGCACTGGTACTGGTTGCCCAGCAAAACTGTGGGTGCCCCATCCCTGGAAGTGTTCAAGGCCAGGTTGGATGGAGCTCTGAGCAGTCTGGTCTAGTGAAAAATGTTCCTGCTCATTGCAGGGGTCTTAAAACTAGATGATTGCTAAGGTCCTGTCCAACCCAACCCATTCTGTGACTCCATAAAAATTTAATGCGTCTGAGATGCAAAGATTTTGCAAGGGAAGAAAATTATCCTGACCATTTTTGCATGGGCTTCTTTTCTTCCTAAGGTATCATAGTCACCTAGTTTCATTTTGAAGCACTTATTTATATCAGAAAACTGTTCAAGGTTAAGGTCATAAAATATGTAGGGATTTTAAAGAAGGCAGTATTAGACCTGAGCTGACCATGTTTTGTTGTTGTGGTGGTTCTCATGCTCTGGTAATAGCGTGCATGGTGAAGTAGTGTTTTAATAATCAGCAAGATCTGATCCTCTTGTCTAGTGCCTAACTGACAATTTGAGGTGGGCGTCAGCCAGGAACTAGTTAATGATCATCAATGAGCATGAAAGGTCTTACCTGCTTAAAATGTCACAGGATGGTATGACAGGAGAAATACAAGGCTTTTTATTTCTGTGTACTAAGCATTCAAGCCTAATTGACAAGCAGGATTTGTTTTGTGTTTTTCTCTTCCCCCTTTACAGAAGGGCTCCTCGCTAGTTGCTCCAGTCCACATTGTCAGTGAAGAGTCAGGTGACAAGACTAACTTGGGCTTTATTCATGCCTTTGTGGCTGCTATTTCGGTCATCATCGTGTCGGAACTGGGGGACAAGACCTTCTTCATCGCGGCCATCATGGCCATGCGCTACAACCGCCTGACTGTACTGGCTGGTGCTATGCTTGCCCTGGGACTGATGACATGTTTATCAGGTTAGCACTCTGCTTTACTCCGTTTTGTTTTATCTCTTAAGAAGTGATGGGTATGTATTTATCAAAAAAAATTAATTGGAGTGCAGGTACTAAGTATATGCAGTTTTCAGTTTTGAGGAGAGTGTGAAGCTTTTCCTGTGGAGCATGGAATCTCAGCTCGAGTATTTAGGCTGTTTTCTCAAATGAAGTCTTTGACAGTACAGGGACTGACAAAGCCTCTAGGCTTCGACTGCAGTTTAAGGAAGAGGAATGACATGGAGAGCCTAAGCACTTCCTTTGATTTTTGGACTGGTTTACTTTTTTTTTTCCCCACTCCTATAAAATTAGTGTGCCTAAAGGGAATGTGGGAGTGGCTTCTGTCTTTCCTCCTAAGGCAAAAGATTCTTTGTATGATGACACATTTTCCTCATCTGCCTTGTATTCCTGCACACATAGCTGTTTGGATTTGTGCTGGGAACTGCGTAAGTGGAAGACGGAGGGGAGGGAATGGGAAGTAAGGTATCAGGTGGCACTTGAGGAACCTGTAGATGTGATTGTAAAATGGAGCAGCCTTCAGGTACCTCAGAGGCAGCACGGAGTTTGTCTGTGTGCTCATTTCTAGCCATACCCATTTCAGAAACACTTGAAATAGTGGTGGTTGGTTTGTACACGCTGGAGACAGCCAGTTCACTGGTGCAGGCTGCTTGGCAAGTGTTTCTGTGAATGGTTTTTGGGTGCGTAGCTGTTGCTGTGTACATTGCTGCGATTATTGCAGTTGTAGTTAGAGCAGTTTCCACTTGCATTCTGTGTCATTTCTTCTGCCCATTATAGTTCTCTTTTCCTATACAAATTTTTTCTTCAAATCTTTCTTAATGCTTTTTCATAAAAAGCTTTTCTGCTTTTATCCCTTAGTTTTTCAAAGTGTGCTTGACAAAATAAGCTGTCTTACAGTTCTGATTATTTCACTGTGTCTATGCTTATATATGTAAGAAATGCTAAGAAAAGGATAGCTTTTTTGTCTAGCTTTCTTGCATTGTTTTACTGCAGTATTTTCAGTCTTTTTAAAGGAGTTTATTTAGCTTTGCAAATAGTACTGCTATTTGTATATGTATGTGCTGTGTTTATGAGTAATAAGGCTCTTTAATTCTGGTCTCATTCTTACTTCTGGTAGTGGCAGTGCAGAATTATTTCTAGATCATGTAGTAACTTCTGAGTGCATTTTTCAACTAAAGATGTGCATAAAAAAGCACACATGGTAATATGCTTCTTTTTAGCTAATTGCACGTGGAATAAAGTAGCAGAAACACTTGTGAGTGCATGGTCCAAGCAACCTTGAATGTAAGGTGTAGACTTTTTATTTCTTCCCATTTATGTGGGCCTTTTTCTGTCAAAAAAATGCTAAACAGCCTTACTTTGTGAAAACAAAGTACTTTGTCCTGGATACATATTTCTTATTTAAGAACTAGTTTTGGCTTAGTTACCTCTAAAAGACACTGTGAAGGTTGCTTTACAGTCTGTAAGTGGGATCTGCCTTTGAAATAAAGATCAAAGTTAGTCACACTGTGTGTTATGTGGGGAATATGGGGGACAAGGGAGTAGTAATGTGCACTTGGCAAAGCAAGACAGACATGGATTCACCCAGCTGGATGATTTGTAGATATGCCTGGTGGATTTACCTCATTGAAAATCTTATTCTAACTTTATGTGATAAATGAAATGATTGGAAAG